TGTTTAATATATAATATACAATATCCACCAGTGACGGAGATACGGAAAGACACTGACATTAAAAACCCCAGAATTTCGACGCCATTATTTTAATAAAAACATATCTCGGAATACGAAAAAATCTATAGGAATACGATTTCAAATAAATATCTGCTCAAGTTCAAATATATTACTAGCGTAGAAATTCTGAAATTTCTTAAAAGCTATTCTCTTTAAAAAAAATATAGTTTGTATGCCAATGATGTTTGACTTCTGATAATCACATTGCATTTCCGACAAAAATATTTCTACAGATTTTTTCTGCTGAATGAATTTTAGAATTGCTGTCGATGTATTCAACTGTAGTACACCTAACACTTTCGATAAGAAAATTGTATCTCGAATATTTTTGACTCTGAATAAAATAAAAGAAATATTTTTTCTTCTACTGTTAAGGTGATTGAAATTGTTAAAATAGGAAACGCCATTACAAAAAGAAATAATTCAAACATATAATCTATTTTTTTTATAAAAAATCATTTTTTTGCAGAAAGTGACATGAAAATATGTACATAGAAACATTGAATGACAATACAGCCACACAAAAAGAAAGTCCAAACCTAAGAGAGCCACATATTATTTCCGAAGGAATTCGATGGGCTGATCAAATTTCATAACTTCAAGACAAATTTCTGAGAAAAGTGAAATTTTTGGGTCCAAATATGGGTCGTAACTAGGCTTAGTGCGGCGAGGTGTCTAACAGGACCGTAGTCAGATTACGAATGAAAATATTAATATGTTTACAGAAAACATGTCGCAAGATAGTACTATTACCAAAGAGCAAGGCTAAGTAGAGGATAAAATACCTACATAAAAATTTAAATGACACCACTTACCCGATAAACCTTAGTGTTGCGACAAGTCTTCCGTGGTATATTAGAAGGAGTGAAAATATATTACTACGTGCGTTTCTAAGTTGACCGTTCAACGTCTACTGTTGACAACGGACAGTATGAGAAATTATGAGGCATGAACTATATATCAATATATTTGCTGGTAACAACTGATATGTACCACATAAAGCTTTACATATGCTTTCCAAAATGGTGTATCATGGATTTTTTTCCAACACACTATGCATTTTTTCTTTTATCGTACTACTGACTGGGCATATATTATTGGCATCGTATATATTTTTTTGTATTTCAACCATCATATCAAAAAGTTCATTTAGGGATAGACCATGTGATTTCAATTTACAGAATTACGGAACTTGGGGTTCTCTACTTTGTTTAATGGAATATTGCTTGAAAAATAGGTGTCTGAAGTTCATAGAAAAATACACTCTTCAGCGCTGGACAAGGCATGGCTCTTTAAATGTCTTGTCACTTTCATTTTGTAACAAGTATTTACAATGCGTTCACACACAGTACAACAAGTCATTTCCTTTAATACGTATGTCCCTGTAACCTTGCAACCTTCGGGATCACTGTCAAACCACATTTGAAGTAATTCCCGTCTATTTTTTTTATCTTTTGGCATTTTACTTCACTTCTCCTCCCCTTACTAATAGTTAATTTACAGCAGACGTAAAAAAGAAAAGTATCGACGCGACATCAACTACTACAAGGTTCCGTAAATAACTGAACAGTTCAAAACACGAGTCAGCTGTGAAGGCCACCGATCCCCGCGCCGGCTCTGTTAGACTCTGCACGTGCACTAAGCCTAGTCATAACTATTTTTTTTCCTAAATTTTGTCCAAGTATAACATTTTCTTGGTATTTTGAGGCGCTGAACAGGATGCTATTGGTAAAATTTACCCATGACTAATATTTCTCAGGAAATCCACTATTTGGGTAAAAACTGACTCTAATATGAGTCAAAACTGATTTTTTCTTAAATTTTGTCCGAATATATAATTTTCGTAGTATTTTGTTTTCTCCCAAATAATCGCACCGAATTAAAATTTTCTATTCATAAAGAAAAGTAGTTTTAGGGCCAGCTTCTAATATGTCACATTAGTTTTATGCCTGCTTTTTTTTTAAGAATAATTTAGGGAAAATTAGTTTCCATTCAACGTTCTCTTAAGGAAATGCTTTTTGGGAGCTATAAAATAGATCTGTTCAGTAATATCAAAACGAGCTTCAGTATTGCATTAACAATACACGTATCTATCCTCACAGCTCTCGTTTTTTTTTAATCACCATTTGTATAAGATGTTTTTCTTAAAAAATCGAAATAATTTTTCTATAAATTAGGTTTTCTCTAAAACGAATCATTTAGAAAAATTTTTAAATTTTAAAAACAAGGAAAACTCAGACGTTTGGCGACTGTAAGATCTGCTAAAATAAATTACTTTACTAAATTTCGGTGACGAGATTTTAGCAACATTGTCCGCATGTGACACAAGATAATGAGGCGCACGACGCCTAAATATTTACGTTAAACTGGTTATTAATAGTAAGCAGTACTCTGTAAAAATACAAAAAATATATAAAACGAAATGTAAATATAAGAATCTTTCAAAACACATAATCGCACTATCCCATCGTCTGGTCAATATCTTAGAAAATCCTATGCATATAAAATATACTCAACATTTATTCATACTCCTCTTGCTGATTTTTATGGTTTGTTTATCGGATATATATTGTAAGAAAAATACACTGTTGAAAACATTATTACGCCTTATTATAAACAGTTACAAAATTCCGGATATTGTTAATTATTATATATACACTAAAGTTTCATCGTGATCATTGGAGAGATATTTGAAAATAATCTGTTTAACTAATTTCTTTTAAATAAACTCTTATATTTTTAGATGTAACATAATTAACACTTAATGTTACATGGCTTCTGATCCACCGACGGCAATTAGCCTTTGAGAATACCAAGAAATTGGAGGAAAATATTTTTCACTAGAACAGATTTAATATTTATCTACTTTTCAAAAATTTATTTTATAAGCAATACTTCAAATAAATTAGCAAATAATAACATTTACCAAAGCATAAAAATAATTCTGTGAGATCAATAGCTCCATTTGCAACAGTGTTGTCAGATAGATTATCAAGGTTCTTCATATACGTACAAGGTCTGTTCAGTTAATAACCGAACTATATTTTTTTAAACTTTATTAATTAATGTTATACATTATTGGGCTTTGTCTCCTTCAAAGTACTCTCCTACCCTCTTCACACACCTTTCCCAGCGTTATTTCCATTTCACAAAACGGGTATGGAGATCTTCATTTGAAATTACCTTTAAAGTCTATGACAAATTTGGTTTGATTTCATCAACAGTCTAAAGTATACGAGATACGGGGCAAAATTATTAATTAACAGAAATGGTTCAAAATATGCCTAAAGAAATTGTTTGTATCCTGATTCATATCGCAATGGGTCTGTCCAGAAGTTAATGGATGTTTTTTTTTATAAAAGAGACTTTTAGTGCAGACTCTAATTAATTTTACATAACCTCAATTACTTCATTATTATCTATCTAAACTTCTAACTCTGTACATTTTTGTAAAAGTCTAAATAATCTTGTGTTTTTAGCGCCAATAACGAAATAATATTTGTGGAGTTGAAAGTTTGCAGTTTACATATACATGACTGCAGTAATAGAGGCTGTGCAAAGTTGGTCAAAATTCACTTAAATATGGTTTTTGTAAAGGGCATCCTCAAGTTTGTAGATACGTTACCACACTTTCCTATTATTTAACGACTTTTCCTCGTATAAGGGTACAATTTGTAAAGTAGATTGCAAGACGGTTTTATTATGTCAAAATGGTAATATATAGAACAAAATATAAGTGAATTATTTACGTTCCAATATAAATTTAACATGGAAGTAAAGCCCATACTTCTGTATTAAATTATGTATGCCACTAATAATAAACATAGATTTTATACGATTACTTAAAAAAAATTAATTTTCTGAAGGATATTTATTATCAAAACAAATTTTGATACTGCAACAGTGTATTTCTTCTTTAAGAAATATTTTTATACATGTCATTCAATTAATAAATATATTGGAAGATTTACTTATGAGATGCAAACTAATAGACGAAAATATTAAAATTGACGAATTCATGGGATGTTAAAGTAATCTATGGATCAGCCCATTTCCTTAGGGTTAATATATGGAAATAAAGCTAATAAAAAAATTATGTGGTACCTAATTGGTAAATAATATTATATTTCTTAAGATCTATCACATTTGCCATGGTTTTTTCAAAATTAGAAATTATCTTACTACAAGTATCTGATAATTTTATTCTTTTCTAGTAATCACTGTATTTTATTTGTTTGCTATATTTTATCGATGCATGTTTGCTATATTTTATCGATATTCGTTATTTTAATCTAAACTTATATTCCTATATACAAGTAAGGTGATTTAACCACGAAAATTTTGGAGAGTATAAGTTAATTAAAAATAATTACATTCTGCTATACAGGGCGATTCACAAACTGTGACCAAAAATGAAACCTCCTATTCTTCGGTGAATTTTAAGGGGAGTCTTTCCTATAAAGTTTGTATCTAGTGTCATAAAAATTTCCAAATATCAATATCAAATGAAAAATATTTGTCATTATTGTCCGAAAGGTGCATTTTCTTCCAAAATTTTATGAAAATCAAATTTCCGTTCAAACAAAAGTCATATCTTGACTTTTTTTGCACATCTTTTACCATTTTGGTACAAATAAGCTATTAGTAAAGTGACACGTTTAGATGACTGTAGAAGCTATTTAAATGATTTTAAAAATTGTGTCCGCTCACTCTCTTATGTATATTATGATACATCTTCAGATATAATTTTTTTAGTTATTTAAATGTAATACCTTGCACCTCAAAAACAAGAGTTTCAAGAGCAATCGTTCATATGCAAAATATTCTTAAATTTGATCTAGGAAAACGCTACCTCAGTTTTGGAATAGAAAGAATTTATCTTCTGAGCAGTCGGTAAGTTCTGAAAAATAGCATATTTTTGTGTAAAATGATATACTTACTGGCTCTGGTGGCAAAAGGCTTAATGGGTTGAACAGAATAGATTCCACTGCTTGACATAAAAGTGCTACTTCCTAGTAATCCTGACAAATTATCCTGCGAACATCCTGAAGGACTTACTCTACAGCATCTATACAAGGACGTCACACAATCCGAGCAAGGTATGGCAATAGTTGGCAAGGGCTTCGTTATATTTGAGGAGACCATGTTTTGCGGGAAACTTGCAAATAAAGATTCTCGTATACAGTTGTCCTTAGAAGTATCTGTCGACAGCAGTCTGTCTATTCCGAAATTTAACTTCTGCGGCTCCTTTTTCGAACTCGAGATGTTGAATAGGTGTTCACTCGATGTGCTCATTTTATTCTGACTCTTTCATTCTTCCTATCACAGCTGAAAATTGAATAAAAATCATCAAAATAGTGTAATCTTTTTGGTTTCATCTTACAATATAAAATTTTCAAGGGACTAAGTCGAAATCAACTAAATATTTACACAAAACAATAAACCTCAATAACAATTTGACATAAAAAATCGTTAACGCCTTTGGAGGGCTGAATAATTTCCTGGATATGACATTTTCATGTTTATAACATGTCACTTATCCAATCCTGTTTGTAAACAAAATGCTACCGACTGATGCTTCCCTTAAAAGCTCGTAAATTTGTCAAATCGTTATCTGAGGCATATTTTTTATTACCCGTGATAAAGGACTTGATGTCTCGCTTCAAAGGGTAGAAGATAAATATTCCTGTTAGCGACTGAAACGTGGAGGAAGCCATGTACAGCAAACGATATTGTGGTAATAAAATAGGATAAACAGATACATAATTAGGTATGACTTATTATAAAGAAGGTTCTACATGTACTACTGGGTGTTGGTATAATCACATGACATTCTATCCCCTCAAATAAGTTTGACAATTGCATAGAGAAAATAAAGACAAAGTTACATTAAACAAGATTCAGGAATTGGCAAAAAATATTTTTCTAAATGTGACAGCTTCCAAAAAAAATTTTTATAGGAGGTTAGAGGTTTGCGTTTGACACTTTATGAAGATTATTCCGTCAATAATTTTACATCAATAACATTTAGAAATTTATTTTAATGTATTGATGGTCTACTAAAGACAATAATATACATCGATGTGTATCACTTCTTTAGAGAGAGAAATTGAAATATCTAATTCAATTCAATTGTTTAAACAATTGTACTATGTATTCATATTAAATCTTTGAGAATACTTAAGCTCTGGACAAGATACGTACTTCAAAAAGGAATTCTTATCTTATATTTTATCAAAGCTAGTAAATTTTAATTAATTATATTGTAAAAGAACCACTCTACGGACTACAGCCACCTCCATCATTGAATTACACCAGACATTGACCAATTTAGAAGGTATTTGTTCCAATCAGTATGTCATAGATGAGACACCTGACTAATAATCCAGCTATATGGATACCTTTCTACCAACATATTTTGAGGTTTGTTCCAGCCATTTACCAAGCCGTGCTGTCTGCCAGAAGACTGAGTAGCAGTGACAATTAAGATATATGAAAGAGGTTTGAATGATTATGACGTTTTTTCTGATAACAAAATTAAATCATAAAACTTCCTAAGCGAAACATTTATATACTTATTACATAAATATCGTGGAGGAAGTTTTTAAAATTAGTTTGTAGAGGACACAACGAAGATTACTTTAACCATTCAGTAATAAAGTAATTGATGCAGTTTATTAGATGCGAATGACAAGATCAAGATGATTTCTAAGTACCGAAAAGCTAATTCACAAGAGAATATTTGACAGGGCATCTTCACCTTCTCTTTTAGTTTAAATTTACTTTGTAAATATACAGTTCTAATCTCTTAAAACCTTGTCGTTTTGTGACGTTATCTATAATACCAAAAAAATGATTTGTAACAGTGTCTTCAGATGTATTTAAAACCATTATTTAATAGTACTTACTACTTACATTCTAAGAGAGAGATAGAAGCCACCTAAATCATCTCTCTTTTTTCCCTCTTTGTCTCTCATTTACATATTCATGGCATCTTTAAAAGAGAGCCCCCCACAAAGAGTATCTCTTAGATCTCTAGTTTGCCACAAGTCTGTTAAGTTTATTTACATTTTTGTAATACTTTTAAGAACTAAGCTAAAACTTTTAACTAGTCCTAATTTGTGACTTGTGATTTCCAAATATGTAATACGATGAAAGCGCTAAATAAGTACGGATTTAAGCCACAAACAATGCGAATAAGATATAAATTATAGTTCCACTAAGCAATAATAAACTGTAACAATTAAAAACTTACCAAAATATTTTAAGAATCCATCACAAACGATTAAGTATCTGTAGTTATCCTTCCGCGCCAGATGAAGACGTTGATAAAATCCAAAAAATCACATCCGCCGCTGTCAACTGAAGTGTTACACACACGAGCGCTGTATTTCACCAACACAAGTACGTTGGACGGATAAACATTTCACTAATAGGCACTAATTGAGGACTAATAAACCGAGTATAGGTGGCCCCGTAAGTGAGGCAGCTTAACACTGCGTGCAGGGAGGAGCTTTGGCCACATTAACCAGCTCATTGGCTTGGATGTGTACGTTTTTAAGGCGGTGACTACATTAATATCATTGCTGAGATAGTCTGTTTATTGTTTCGTGATTCAACAGATGTATTCGGAGACGTCAATTTTTTATTGCGATTATCCACTGCACGCTCACGAAACGTAAACAGGAGCTTTAAACAACCCCGTCCACATACGTTCCGGGGGTAATTTGGATGATGAACTTGTACAGGGTACATAGTTTAAAGTGATATGTTTTATTGGAATTCGAAAACTATGGAAGAAAAAATCTGAAAATGTCACGAGAATAAACTACCTTTATTTTTAATATTTCTGAAAAGTGATATTTTGCACCTAAAAATTATGAAATACTAGGTTTAAATCACCTACTTTTTTTTTTAAAGGAAGTTTCCCCGTCCTTTCTCTCTGTAATCATTTCTTATTTTCATAATATTCTTCTACTGCAATTTGGTTTAACCCAAACAGTTCTTTTCCAATTTCTTACACCCATCTCTCTTCAGTGAATTTAATGAAAAATTCAGTTCAAACAGATTCTAATAACCCAAGTAGAAATGCTTCCATTTCAGTGAATTATGCGTCAAATTTTTAAATGCCCAGTACTCTTTCAACAATATAAAATATGTACATAGGTATAAATTACAGCTTAATTTTATTTTTAATCAACTTTTGTATTAACCAAAAGGCTGTCCCATAAATTCATTTTTGACAAAGCATTTGATTCGTCAGTTACACCTTGAAATTTAACAGAATAATTTAAACCTTTATTCGTCAGCTTCTAAACATTATAATTTAAATGGGACAAAAGTGCAAGTTCCATTTTCATAAGCAGTTACTTGTGGAAATGAAAATTTAGTTATTACTTACACCTTATATCTTATATAGAAATTATATGAACTTATAACTATAGACACCATTCGAAGTGCGGCAAATTGCACTAGTCCTAGACCAAGACCATTGGAATGCTATTCTACCTATCTTTAAAGTTTCAAACTGAAAGTCGGAGTCAATTACGGCCTTTAAATAAAATCGATAGAAGAGATATTTCTGAAATTGTTGGAATTTTCTTCTTTCTTCTCCATCTACCTTATATAAAAATATATTTTGCTCAAAAACAGATCAATTTTTGAAGATTCTGATTGTCAGTCAATATCTGCGTTTATTTTTCTTCAATCAATTACGATGATCTAACTAATAGGCCATGATCTGTGAATTACTAGGGCTTGAAGATTTTGAGTGATACCGATTCCTTACGTAGCCGAAATAAAAAATAATCGTTTCATAATGAATGTATAATTACTTCAACATTGTTGGATAAGGATGTGACTGACATGAAATGACACGAATTTAACTAGTACAGCTATTATTAAAACTTTGGAAAGAACCTCTTCAAAAAACAATTCTAGTATTTTTCAAAAATAGGTATTTCTAGTGAGGCCATCTATTGGCAATTACTTACATGATGTACTGTCAAAATTTCATTACATCTGGACGAATAGAGCGTTTGAAATGTTAGTATGTTTGTGTCATCAGTACAAAAATGAGCATCGAACGAAGACCTAATTTTAAGTTTTGTTTTAAACTTGGTAAAACTTTTACCGAAACGTTTCAATTTATAAACCGAGTTTACGGTGATGATTGTTTATTCCGTGGCAGAGTTCATGAGTTTAAAAACGGCCTTGAGGGCATAAATGATCAGCAACATATTGGCCAACCGAAATCCGTGATCACCGTAGATTCCATCAAATCTGTGCGTGAATTCATCAAAGATCAACCAAAATCTTCATTGAAATTCATGGAATTGGAATTGAGCATCTCAAAAACATTAATCTATCGCAATTTGGCTGAATATAGGGCTACCGAAAAGTGTGTGCATAGTTTATTCTACACAAGTTGACTGACGACCAAACATCACTCAGAATTCTACATTCGAAGGAAGGACATCATCAAGGAGGCCACAAAGGACAAAAACATAGCGACTGGTGATGAAACGTGGTGTTTTCAATATGACCCAGGAACCAAGCACCAAAGAGCCGAGTGAAAGGTGCCCGACGAGCCAAAACCCAAAAAATCTCGTTTGGAGAACTCAAAAATAAAGACATTGTTGATTTGCTTTTATGATTCCAAGGGCATTGTTCACAAAGAATTCGTTCCACCGGGCCAGACCGTCATTGCACAATTCTATCTTGACGTTTTGAAACATTTGGTGCATTGTACTCGGTCAGAATATCGTGCAGAAGGAATTTGGCGTTTGTTACACAATAATGCGTCATCTCATCAATTGACATTTGAAACCGATTTCGTGACTAAAAAAAATTTTTACTGTTAATCACTTATTCTCCTGATTTGGCACCTTGCGACTTTTAGCTCTTCGGAAAAATGCACTTGTTTTTGAAAAGAAAGCGTTTTGTCGACGTAAAAGCCATCCAAAAGACTGTTTACCATTCTGTTTACTTTGGAACACAAAATTTAAGATGTAAACCGAGATAACAATATTCCAGTGTTAAAATACTCAAATGATCCAAATAATACTAAGATTGATAATGATTCCGTAGGTTTAAAATTGTTTAAACATTTAGCAAACAGCAATTCAATGTAAGGAAATTCTAGTTTTAGTAAATACATAAAAACAAAGCATTAGCGACATGAGTTAATTCGTGTGAAAATGGAAGCTCATGCGCTATAACATAGTGAATTTAAAAGAACTCGTTTAATTATGTAGGCCGTTACAAATTCACTTCTCACTACAGGGATCTAGGAAACGGTAAGAGATACGAAGAACCTTAAATCGGGGCAAAGTTGCATAATCAGGGGACCAACATTATGCCTCTAAAAAATATTTGAAAAAAAACGAAAATTTGAAAATCCGTTTTTGTTTCACTTCATATTTGTTTGAGGTGATTTTGAAAAAAGAAGAGCATTTTCTAATGGCAACTTTTCGCCCTCTAACGAATGGCATAATCAATTTTTATATGTAACGTTTCGTCTCGCTAGGACCATCATCAACTTCATTTTTTTTAAATACGACCCTGGAAATTTTATTACATTATGTGCAACTTTCACGAGCCCCAATACTATACTGCCTGAACGAGTTTCAGACGTTTTGTCTCAAAAAATGTATCTTCAATGTATTCGTTGCAAATTATATATAAATAACGGCTACTATATGAAAGAGCATGTCTGATATATTTGTATGAATATCCTGAAAAAAAATTTTGAGCACTCGAGAGACCTAGAAATAACTATGAGCACGGGATTAAAACTCTAATAATGTTTTATTGTAGCACGTGATGGTAATAGTTTAAATAACTAAGTGGATTTCACAGGGTCTAAAGACACTTAGAGTATACGGTAATTCAATAAACAAACAATATAAATAAAAAATTTAGATAAATTTTGAACGAACGTTTGAATCTGGTTCCGGCTGAGGCAGTACAGTATTGGGGGTCATGAAAGTTTGTAATAAATTTAATAAAATTTCCAGAGTCGTATTTAAAAAAATGATGTTGATGATAGTCCTGAAGAGACGAAACGGTACATATAAAAATCGATTATGCTATTCGATAGAAGGCAAAAAGGTTGCCATGATAAAGTTTTTTTTTCAATATCACCTCAAACAAGGCTGAAATGAAATACAAACGGATTTTCAAAATTTCGGTTTTTTTCAAATATTTCGAAAACTAATCATGTTAGCCTCTGCTTGGCTCTGCGCGTATTCGTGTACCCCTCTTCAGAGCTGAGCTAATTGCATTAAAACTCGTTTGCACATAAGAAGTATTTTAATCAACATGCAGAAATTACACACAAATAATTTTTATCGGTTTTATTGAATACAACAACTCACGTCCGATGAAATATACACCCAGTCTCCTCGTGCTCGGATATCGCTTCGATTGGAGAACCCGAGTTATTTAGTCAGTGATAACGTCTGAGACGGTGATGGGATGATTTATACAAGCAGTTCCCAGTCACATGCTAATGTGTCCGTGTTATTAGTATGTAATAAAGTATATAGTTATTCATTTGGGCAGTAATTCTCGCAGCGGGGCCACCCCTGTCGCCCGCTGCTAAACCTCACCTTTAATGGTATTATTTATGCCTGAGCCGGGGTCGCCCAGCGAGATCCCCATATATATTGCCGTTTTCTGCTGGCTCGCAGGACTTATGGGCGAGCTGCGACTACTCACCTCCGATGAAAACATATTCGTTGCGTGCTAATCATTGATTTTTATTTATTGTCCGGGTATTTACACAACATCGGTACACCAATTATTAATTAATGAAATTCGTATTATTTTACCTGAGAGCGGGCTCTGGAAGACATCGATAAAACACCTAGGAGCGAATAATGGTCATGCCACCCGTATACACGTGTAGCGTATAGGGGAGAGAGTATATTTCTTGACTTATTACTTTTTCGTAGTGACCAGGAACTTTTGTCGTAGATAACACAAGCACAAGGGGGTTGACCTAGAGACTAGAGACCCCACTAGGCTGTCTCTATGTATTTTAATGCTCTGAGTCCATCATTATCTTCAGCACCCACAGGATTTGACTGAATCTCCAAAAATTACTAGAAATCCCAAAGAACCGTGGAAAAGCGCATCAGTAACGTTTTGAAAAACAGTTATTTGTTTAACTAGGCAGTAAAGTACAAGATTTAATACCACGGATGGTATTTAAGAGACGAGGCGCAGCCGAGTCTATTAAAGTATTGGTATATTTTTCTGGACTCAGGACTATTTTGAATGTCTACAACAACATCGAAATTGGAAAGTATCCAAAATTAAAAGCATTCTTGAAACGGCAATCCGGTGGATATCGTGCTAAGAAATCACGCTTTAGAAAATGAACAAATTAAAAAATTTCTAATTGGGGGCTCGTGTTGATACATATTTAGGTACAATATTTTTGTAACGAAGAATACTGACTATTATTATTTTAGGTGGCAATGATTTTGATGATGAAAAATTGGAGATATTGAAGATATAGGAAACAGATTGCTGATCATTCTGCCAACTAGAAACACAAAGAAAAAAATATCCTTTAAGCGAATATTTAGACATATCTCGGAAATAGAGTACAACAAGACCTATACTTTAAAAATGCATGATGGATGGAAATCTTCAACGGTAGCTGAAGGCTACATTGAGAAATCCATAACTCGTAAATCAGTTGTTAGCAAAAAAAATTTCTCTACTGCAAGTACATCAAGTGCTGGAAGCGATTTTTTAAATAATTCTGCCACTTTGGAGAAGTCAATAGTTCATAAATCATCTACTAGTAAAAACACTTCAACCGACGTAGACAAAGTAAATGTTTAAAAACAAACAGGACAAGAGATATCCGTACGGGCTATTCTAATTTACAATAAATAAAATTACCTGGTCACCATCACTTAAAAACTGTATATATTTAACAAAAAAAACTATCTTTTTCCCAACTACTACAATTTCTATTAAAAATAAGGTTTATTTCATTTAATTTCCTTTTCCCAAAATTGAGCTATCAAAGATATATTTTCTTTCTATATTTTTAATGAACAGAGTGAAGAAAATCATTTATATACATTTTAGATACTAATTTTCAGTCTTAAACGATATTTTTATTACCATAATCAAGAAAGTCAAGTACATTAGTTATTCCTTCGTGCCACAGTAGAAAATAATTTGTTTATACAGTTTATTTTACAAATACATATTTAGAAATAATTAGATGAAAAGTTATATCTCAAATAATCCTCAGTATGATATCTGGTGTACCCTTCAGATAAATTAATAAGCGAATAGTACATACTATCCACATCTAAATCCGTCAAAATTTCTCTCTTGGGCCGTGGTCTTCTTTTCCAGTAACTGTAACTCGTCGTTGTTTTCCTCCTATATGGAGCACTAGTAGGTCTCTTTCTCCTGATTTGCTGACTTATAATGGCGGACATGATTTGAGTTGCTGTCGTTTGATAGTTGTTATTCTTTCCTTTAACGGCTTGCACTAGAAGACATATTAAGTATCCACCGAAAGCCAAAAAAGCCAGGGTCGTCACTGATATTTGAAAAATGCTTTGGATGCTTGACGACTTGTCCTTTGATGATGAGTCGTCGTAGTGGTAAACTTGACTTTCTTTGGAGATTTTCTTCGACTGTTAACAAAAAAGGAACTAAGATTAAATATGCCTGCTTATAGTTTTTTTACTGACAGGTAAGATATGGTAAGGTTTACTGACAGGTAAGGTAATGTTTTACTGACAGGTAAGGTAAGGTAAGCTAAGGTTTTACTGACAGGTAGTTTTTTACTGACAGGATAGGGATGTACTAGCTTGAAAATAACCTTGTTATAATAATTATAATTTAATCAAAGAACACTATAAAGCACTTTGACAGGAGATTTAACGAACACTGCACACATAACTAAAAAAATGTCCAATTTAAGACATTAAATAATCAAAAAATATTTTACTATAATCTATCTTATGTTGTAACTGTTTAACTAATGTTTACCTTTACCTGAAGTGGCAAAGCTTGCGGAATTCCTGTTGTCGAATTAACTACTGGTTCAGACACATCCTCTTCATCAAACTCAAAACTTTTTTTTATATTTAATAATTTTTCTAAAGGTAATTCGCTTAGTGCTTTAATATCTTCAGTTAATGATAGTTCTTGCGTTACCACATTATCAAAAAACACACTAAACACTAATATTAACTGTAACATATTGTACATTTGACGATATACGATGTTCTGTCTCTAGGAGAGATATTACGCAGATAATATCTAACGCTTGTTTCAAATCTTACCACATTTGGACCAGAACAAAACAGTTCGTTCTGATTTGTATACACGGCTTCGTACAATACAGGGTGTAAGAAGTATGACTGCCTTTCAGCATGTGATAGAGTAATTATAAATGAACAAAAAAGTTTATATTACAGTTTTCAATTCAAAATATAGCGAGTATTAATATTGGGGAGTTCCAACACAACGTGACAACAGCGCTTAACCTAATGTCACACAGCTGATGCACACCATGTGCGCACGCGGCAGACTTGTCGTACGGAATAACAAAAATGTAAACAACTATTATTGTGAAACATTTAATAAATTTTAAGTCAATTGTTTTCAAGTTTTTAAATAAATAAAATGAAATGTATCGATTTTGTAGTACGAAGATAGTGTTATGATTAAATTTTAGCTCAAATTTTAGTAAAACAGGAACATTTAATCAAATTATGAATTTGAAAAATATATCATTAAAGTACTCAAAGATTCATGGTGTCCAAATAATCATACGTATTAAAATTAATTTAGGTCCGTACCGAAAAACAAAATTCAGTTATTTTTAAACGCACAAGTACAAAACAAACTACAACATATGCTTAAAATGTTCACCACCATTTTGGATGCACGCACGACACTTTCGAATCCAATTTTCGCGCACTCGTTGAAAAACACTTCAAGAAAAGGAAATAATGGTACGCAAAAAACACTCAGACATGGTCCAAATCCAGATACCAACTGAAATGCTTATTGCTTGACAGCTTAGTACCTCGTATTATCCGCCGCGCCGTTGTCATATTGCTCGATATGGATTTTATCAAATTTTAAATTTATTATAACGCTAATTATTTTTTAGAATTAAGCATAAAGAAGTTCAAAAAAGTGATAAACATTGTATTTTATAGTATCCTAACAATTAACATAGTTCAAGTTGAATATCCAATATACGGATCAACACGGTCTTTATTCAAAATAATATTTATTTTCTCTGCTTGCCAATATTTTCCCACAACTTTTTAACAATCTACGGTAATCATTTCCCAATATTTTGTGGAATTCTTTATTCAGTTTTAGAAAAATATTTGAGAAGTGCCATATTTTCTCTTCAAAAGATTGGTGGAAATGACACAAACCCAAATAGCCCCTATTAAGTACAGTTTTAAGTAACATTTGAAAAAATTATAAAAATATACATGGTTTGCCATGCGTATAAAGACAGTAAGAGAACAGTGACACTTTGCAGGTCACCTTTCATTTCTTTGTAGAATAATGTTGGTCTATGTGATCACTATGGTTTTGTTAATTTCCTGCACAAAAAGTGTTGAAAATGAGAATTTTAGTGTTTTGGATAAACTTAAGTCGGGTAAGAAATAAGAACTCATTATATGACTAGTGTTACTATATTATTAATAACGTTGTTATTCGAAAAATTACATATTTTTAATTATTATTTATCCAAACCTTAAAATAGTCTTTTCAACACAATAGTTAAAAATACATCTCGGGAAACCATTAGGTAAATACCATCAACCATAAGATTGCCTATTTTATTTCCCAATAAAAGTTTAAATGCTGCCAATAAATCTAAATTTGAAGAAATTCGACACATTTTCAGGTCTCCAACTGGCTGGCAAGTTTCTTAATTCCGATCATGCCAAAGGCGTTGCTAATTTGGTGAGCGAAGCATTTGAAAAGACACACAATAAGAATAATAACGATGATAAACAAAGCAACATATTTTCCGGATTCTTGAGAGTGCTCGGATTTGACACCAAAAAAATTGGAGCAATCACTGTCAACGCTATAATATTTGTAGCTCAACTGGTGAGTTTACTGTCAAATAATAACAAAAGTACCAACATTTATTTAGTAATTATAGCTTCGTAAGCTTTCGAAATTTCTATAGTATAGATAGAAAAAAGATCACCTTGTACAACTTGCCGGGAAAATATACAGCTGATCATTTTTATACAAGTTGCTCGTACCTACTAAGTTCTATAATAATCAACATTCTGATAAACAGACCTATTGCTGACAGTTAATGTCAGTATGGATATCTTCTACCTACAATATTGAAATCGTAATATCACAATTTAAATACTTTGATTATCCTTTTTTGTGAAATCTGACTTTAATTGCACATTATATATTGCACTGTAAATTTTCTGAAAGTAACACACAAATACCCGATTATATTGAGAGGTTTATTTTGCAAAGATCGTTTCAAAGGATTCGTCTAAATATTTTGCAGCTTAATAGGCAATTAACGAATCTGACAACATGTGCCTCTCCTGAAGACCGCCTCTTATTCTTTCAAAACATTTTATAACAAGAACAACAGTTATGTTGCAATAAATTCTTTTTTTTTTTGTTAAATAATGTAACTACTTAGTTTGTTTTCTGTATTCATGCAGCCTTGTTTTACAGATTAGTTCCGCTATTCAACTAAAGCAACCCTCTCAACTAATACATGAAAGGAAGGTAGACACAGGTTCTCTTTTTGACTGGGTGATCAGTGATACTGACATAGCAGACTTGCTGGACAACGCCAAAGACGAAAAACTTTCGCAAAATATCATAGAGTATGTTAAAGAAAGAAGTTTAGATGAAGACACTGGATGTATTCAATTGTTAATATGTAAAAGTTCTCCTTTCATTTTGCAAATGCAGAAGTCCATTAAAGAAAGAAGCAGTAATTCATCTCTGGGGTACGGTGCGCTCTATAAATATTTGCCTGCACTTGAAGAGGTGTCGGATAATGGCGATGCTTGTGAAAAAAGTTACCACTATTGCACAATTCCTCTATGAATTGATTAAGTAAATATAATGAATAATTAGTTCTGAAAGTGAAATACTATTTCGTCATCGATTCTCTTATTGAAGATATTACTAAACAGCAACAAATTATTTGCATAGTACCTATTTATATTTCTCGAAAACTTGCATCTGTTATTATATTTGGTTGTAGTTGTGTATAAAATACTAATGTAAGTTAATATTGATTAAAACAATAATATATAATTAATAATGATACGCAATAATAATATATCTTTTAAAATAACTTACCATTATTTAGCACTACTGTCAAATATATTATTTTACTTACTCAAATTTCGTGGCTGAAAACATACATAGGTATTGTATTTTTCAAAACTGAGAGAATTGCACGAAACTAAATTTGAACAGGACATAGCTAATATAATGCGAAACATCGCCTTAATGTTAAAAATGTTGTCACCGCCGTTTTTGGTGGTGAAAAAAAAAAAAAAAATGTACACTAAAATAGTTTGCATTTAAATTACATAGGTAGTAAAAAATTTGATATTCAATCTATGGTACTGATAATTTTATTATTATGTTTTTGTCCGTAATCTCTTTCTTAAAAATTTATTTTATTTTGTTAAAATAAACGTATTTAAATAAGAAATAATTAAAATTCTAATAATTAATTATTTGTGCATTTGCCTAGGTGAAAAACATCGAATTTGACAATATTTTGTGTGTATGACAAATGCGTTATTCTGAATAGTCTTTGGTTTATTTGACCCATACCTTCATAACAGTATCACGGGTTGCATATTCTTTTTCAATATTCAAGAATATACAGAGTGTTAGAAATTTGACTGCCATAATTTTAACAGACGATAGAATATACAACTTTTTTGTTCACTTATGATTACTCTATTTCGTGCTGAAGTAATGGCAGTCAAACTTCTTAGACCCTATAGATGTGATTAATTTAAATAACTATAGTGCAAACAATAGAAAATCAGTTGATTCAGAAAGGAACCTATCAAATTATCACATTCTGTTTACAGAAATAAAAATAAATACAAATTAAACGTTTATTAAAAATAGGTGTTGGAAAGGACAATAGTTGCAAGCTAAATTATTTGTGCAATATGTTTTAATTGATTAATTAAGTACAAAAATTACAACTACAGAAATATCCTACAAATAATAATATTTACAACTACGATATAAAAATCAAGTAACTAGTACAATAAATAGATTGTGATCCCTTCACATTTCAGTTAGACTACAATATGACAGGTCAGTAAATTAATTAGGAGAAATTTATCAAATTACATAATTGCTGACAAATAAAATAAATATTATGTCGATATAATCTTCGAGAAATACCGACTTATGTAACATAATTAATTTATGTGCGTGAATCTTGGATGATGCAGCTATACATCTGTCTCCTAAGAGGGAGACCGAATGCCACTTTTTTATCTGTCACTAATTTAAACGCGATAAATCAAACATGTGGATTGTACGTGGGATTAGAGGAAATATATAGATAATTTTTACTCTGCACAGGTTTGTCGTCTTCAACCTGCTCTTTTACCCCGTAACTGGGTGTTTTGTGTCGAGTGTAACCCTGATCATCGGTATACCGGATGGTGTAATATTTCGTGTTATGTTGGTAATATTTCGCATTTTGATCTTCCTGGGGCTGACTCTCATGCGACGAAACGCGAGGTTTTGTAGAGTGGACTTGCGGGGCTGATCTGTCGGCGAGTCGGTTTCTAGTTGATGATTTGCCTGAAAAAAAAAGACGGTAAACTAAACGAAGTAAAGGACTATATTAGAACAGCATCATTCCTTTGTCATTCATGTTGGGAAAAGTAACATTTATTGACCATTCTGTTCACATATGTAGATAGATTTTTTATTCCATTTTTGTGTCATATTAGAAACTTTTTAAATACACTAAAATTCTATGTAACATCTAGATGATTACCAAATTGGCCTTGTAAATTTGATGTAAGTTCGATGTGGGACTGCTCTACAAGTGAAAGCAACGTTCTTGGACTTGGATATATATTAGTGATTTAATAGTTATTTAATGATTTGAAACCGTGTTTTCTGTAAGTAAACATCACATGAAAAATAATAGTCGTTCGTTGTGTACCTATTTGCAAGCAAATAAAACTATAGGTTATGTTCATTGTGATATTTTAAATTATAAAATTCTAAACAAAATATTTTTACATGCTTGATAGCTGCCAAGAAGGCAAAGAAAGTAAATAACGCATCATCAGAGGTATAAACATTAAATTTTTATTTTATTGGCGGCTATGTATCTACGTGATTATAATTTTAAGAATACCTTTTAAATTTAATTGCATTATAGTTTGTTTATGCAAATATATTAAAATGCAGAAGAGCAAGTGGTAGGGTTAACAAAATTGGAATAGGAAGAGAAAGCATCAATGAATGTTGACACACATAATGTGTGTGATAATATTTTTTTAACACCATAGACATGAAACTATATTCATTGAGCATTGATTTTTTCCGTGTCCAGAACATAATACAGATACAACATATCTGTGTTGTCCAAGAGTTTGGCGTTCACAGAAAAAAAAAACTATTAAAATTTTGCACCACTTCAAAAACCAGAACAAGTTATTTTTAATGAATATACCAACATACCAAAGTATGTCATCCACCTTTATTTATTGGATGCATTAGAAAAGTTGGGACAGACAGGCATACTGATAGCAAACTCATTCGAAAAGTGTAAAATTGACTTACCTTTCGATCGTTTAAATATCACTTGCGTGTGTTTGTCAGAAGGATAATTCTCGTCGGTTAATAATTCGCTTTTGTAGTTTTTAACAGGAGCTGAAGGTTGTTGGTACACTGGAGAAGGCACCTGGTAACTGGAATATTGGTAGTTCGCACCATAGTCCGGAATTCTGGGTTCTGGAAGAGCCTGAACATGCTGCGGAGCTTGGTATTCTTGATTTTGGCTGACATCTTGGGTCTCTTCGTACTGATACTGAGGATAATACTGTTGGGACTGATAAGCCTGGGACTGATAATCTTGAGACTGATAATCCTGACCTTGGTAATCATTGGACTGATACTGCGCTGCCTCTGCTTGGGGTTGGACATACGCTTGACTATTCTGATATTCTTCTTGGTGTGGTTGTTGGTAAACGATTGGTTGCTGCTGAACAGTCGGTTGTTCCTGAACAACGGGCTGCTGTTTTACATTGCTTCCGATATAGTTTGATAAAAGTGAGTTAATGTTTATGGAATTAATGGCAGCCGCGTGCAAGTGATTCTGAGGCAATTTAGGATACAAAGGATTTGCTAGTTGATCTGGATGCACTCTCAGAATTATAACAGGTATAGGATACTGGTAATTTTCCACAGACTCTGGAAACTGCGAAGATAACTCTCCTAATTGCCCTTGCTGATTTATAGTAGAAAATAAAATTGTTCCTGGTTGATAAAAGTTGGAAACTTCTGCATTTTGAACGGGTTTAGACGCTACACTTGGGGTATGGTAGCTTGCCGCTTGCGCCGTATACTGGTTTGGATTGTATGGAGGAATGTCATGTTGTGAATACTTATACGTTTCATATTTTGGCCTCCCCTGGTAGCCGTAGCCCAACGAGGATTCTATTGTCCGTTTTGAGTTTTTAGCACTCGTTGTGTTTTCATTTGGGTCGATTATTTGAATAGCGATAATGGCATTCTGGGGTGGCTTGGATTTCGATGCTTTGGAGGTAGTTAGTTTGGCTTCATTGGATTTTAAGACAGCAAGAAATAACACCTGGAACAATTGGGTTAATAAATTCTAATTTTAATAGTGGTTCACAGATCAACAACGAAAAGTTCATAACAGGATATACAAGAGATAACGGAAAAATAAGAGATAACTTCCCTGAAGAATTCAACATGTCATGTATGTATATTTCATTGGACAGGTTAACTTTTCTTATTTGTTAGCTTATCTAGATATTTGGTATTACAGAAATTCATATCTAAAGTAAAATAGACCAATTCATAAGACCACGTTAAAGAAGAAAATTTCAAGCCATGTTTGTAATATCCACATAACTTTATTTAAATATTCAAAATAATTTAATGATAACGGAAATATTAAATACCTAGTTTGCTTTGCCTAGAATTAAAAACTGAAACAAATTTGGTAGGTTAGTAGCTTTAGTAACGCCATCAATATATTGTTTCCGTTTCAGAATATAAACATTTTTTAATAAATTTGATTTCTTCATTTCCGTTTAGCGATTATTAAATCATATTAGAGATCTATCTTTCCATGAATATAAGAGCATGGTAATTGTGATTCTAATAAAATAAGCCATGGGAGATAATTTAGCAGGTATTTTCTAAAAGCAAGATTTTCGTAACACTTTCTGTTTACGTCTCGATAAAGAAAACATAGTTAATGGATCATGTGTGAATACAGTGTATTGTTTTGTCAATGTTGATTTTAGTCGAGATATGTATTACAATAATACAGAGTATGTAACTGTAAAAAACCGATTTAGCAACTTATTGCAAATGGGAAAATTTTGAAAGTCTTGCCCCACACTGCCCAATTTTAACAATAGTGCTCCTTGATATTAACAAAAAAAAAACGTACACAGACAACCTATTTGTAGACCTGTACTATGTAATTAAATCAATATAATATGAATATAGAAACTGCCCTAATTGAACGAGAAATGATTAGTATAATATATACAATTAACAAATTATTTGCATTAAAATGAATCATTGCAATTAAAATAAGGATATTCTTTTGTCCCGTTGCAAATATACAATAAATATTCGAGGTTATCTAAATGACTTTCACTTTCATGGCTTTCTATGGCAAGGCGGACACATATTCGTGAAACAGAAAAAAGCGGAAGTCTTCGCTTGATTTTACCTCATTCGGGGAAATCTACGCAAAGAATCAGATAAACAACCGTTAGATTGAACCTGTTATTTAAGTGCACCTAATAAGTGTATTGCATCTGCGTCTTCTATGGCAACTTCTATATTTTTTTATTGCTTGCCAATTCATTTACATAACAGTTTCTTGAACCCTTTGTTGAAAATGTTATGATAAAGTCTATGGAAATTCCCATACATAGGATTATGGTTAGATATCGGTGGATACCTTTACTATTTTTTCTCAACATATGCATGAGAAAATATTAAATCAATTTTTTGTTTTACCACAAGGTCTGAAACCAATTATATTCTTTAAAATTAAATAAACGATTGATGTTTTATTACATGGGAAACAAATGAAAGTGCTCATCAATTAAGAAGTCAGCTCAAACCGATTTAAGGTTATATGAAAAAATATTCTCTCATTGTATAACATCCCAGAAGGTTTGCATTGGATTTTTACATATGCTTAAATTGGCCTGAATTGACCTGTATCCTACAAAAAAATATGCAAACTGTAAGAAGGCATTATTCAGATAAAAATAGGCAAAATAATTTATTATAAACGCTGATCCGAAAAAACATCGTCTTCTAAACATGGGCCTTCAAATGAAAAAGACAATTTAATAAAAAGTATCTAATCGTAGTTACCTAAATGTTGTTATAAGTATAACATAAATAACTAAAATATTACAGATAACTTCAAATCATATTTAACTAAATTGCAGATAAAATTAGAAATAATAATTTTCAAAGAAAATCTTCTTTAAGAAAAAGTATAGTTATGTTCACAACCTAAAGGTGAACATGTCGAAAACCCTCACAGTTTTCTATTTTTAAATTTAAAAAATCCCAAAATTTTGGGTGATTTTCAAAGAGCTGTAACTTGGAGGTAAATGATCGTAGAGAGAATCATAAAAAAGGAAATTGAAGCTTCAAGTGTCTAGTTTTCAGATCTACAGTTTAAAATTAACGTCAGCAGTTTTTGAGTAATGATAAGAAAATCAACGGATTTTTTTTTTTAATTTTTAATTTTTTTAAAAAGGCCTATATACTTCAAACAAATTTTTTTGGTAATTTCATCATAAATATGTTTTAGATAATTTAATTCTGTTCAATTTGGGCGGTTCCGGAGCCTTGTACGATTATTTATCGCAGTTATTGTCGATTAAAGCAAAAAAATCATTTTTGAATTTAGCAACCAATTACTCGGGAAATAATGGTCATACAAAAAATCCAAGAAGGGTTTTGAAAACTGAAAAGTATTCTCTACAAATCGTAATTATAGGTTTTTGATAAATAAAATCTTTTCAAAGTCAAAATGTTGGTTAGAAAAAAGGTAAAAAATTGGGCATATTTGAATAACTTGTTATAACCTTGCAAATAATGAATAAACTAAGGATATCGACTGTAACTTTTCAACCTCAAAGTGTCCTAAAGAAACCCTGATAATTTCAAAGCGCTGCGATTTTTGTTTCCTAGTGCTTGGAATATTTAAATTTGTCGTTTTGCTGAAAATCCATATTTTCTTCATCAAAAAACGTTCATGATTCCAAACAAAAATGAAAAAAAAAAATTTTTCAATAATTATTTTTTATCCATAAGCTTCACGAACGTCAAAAAAATGCGGTGGATTTGAGGTTGCATATCACAATTTAATATTCAGTATAGCCGATGCTGACGCTAAAATATTTTAAACTGCAGATCTGGAAACTAGACACTTGAAGCTTCAATTTCAATATCTTTGGAAATAACCCAAAATTTTGGGATTTTTTAAATATCCCTTAATTTATGTGCCTAGTGTATATCAGTGCTATAACAATGTTAAACTATAGTTTACATATATGATACGTTTAATTTATGTTTATTTGTTATTATTTTTTTGTAGGTATATTATCTTCGTTCTGACTTAATTTTTCTATAAGTAAACTATTAATTAAAATTTTGTTGAAATACCCATAGTAAAACAAATAAAAAGTGCAAGTGCAAGTGTTCTCTATTATCTAACATATATCTTTTGATATAAATTTGATAAGAGTAATGCATTTCGTAAATATGTCACTTTATCTTTTACGGATTATTTATAATGCTAATTGGTAAATGATACGCAGAATACTGGAATAGTTTTGTAAGTTTTAAATGTATTAACGTTATAATATTTAATGTCGATTTTTTTCGTAAAATTTGAAAGCTTTTTGCACTTTCTCACAGGACACCCTGTATACAAAACAATTTTTCTATTTTTCTAATTTTTTGTTTTCTTTATGATTCTTTATTTTTTACGGATTATTTATAATGCTAATTGGTAAATGATACGCAGAATACTGGAATAGTTTTGTAAGTTTTAAATGTATTAACGTTATAATATTTAATGTCGATTTTTTTCGTAAAATTTGAAAGCTTTTTGCACTTTCTCACAGGACACCCTGTATACAAAACAATTTTTCTATTTTTCTAATTTTTTGTTTTCTTTATGATTTATTTCTCGTTAAAAATTATTATCATTTTTCAAATTCATAAGTTATAGGTATAGGTACTACTTTGTATCTACAAATTTCTGCCATTATTTGTGGTGTGTATAAAAATATGTACATATTTACAAATTCCATGATGTGAAAATATCAAAAATTAACTATTTGTAAGAATTAATTATGTAGCAGAAGACATCCTCTCTATCTAGGGCAATATAATTCAACTTTCGCTCTAGATCTGTAATTAATTTTAATTTCATGTAAAATTATATGTAATTTTAATAATATATCTGACCATGCTCAGTTAGTAGCATGTATATTACATACGTCATCAGATGCAAAATAAAAAAAATGTCACTAAAATACAGAAGTAGATTAATCCGTATATCGCAGTTGAATTCCGTGTAGTTGTGTTATCCAAAGTTATGTACAAATATTATAAACAAAAAAAGCAAATTTGCATTTGAAAAAACTTATAAAACATCACTGATATTAGTTGACTGTATTTTTACAATATATTATTATTATTTTCAAATATTGATACTTTTTATAATTTTTGCAAATTATCGATTTGCAACTAAGTAAGTGGGTATATTATTAAAAATTATTTTCACAAGCAAAAAGATGACACTCAAAATAGGAAAATGCTGTCTAATTTCCGTGTTGCTACAAACTTTCGTCAGGAAATATATTTATTAAAAGACTGATATGCAAATGATGTTTACTAATACTTAGAACCCAACCTATGTTGTCTCATACAATCGAACGTACTTATTATGTAGTTATTGAAAAAAAAGCTACTTACAATTAAATATAATCTCATTTTCACTTAACAAACTAGCAGCAGTAACTTCGTCGAACTATCCGTCCGCGCGGCTGCTAAAAAGGTTATATACTTCATATAAAAGAAATCATCCTAATAACATAATCCTTTCTCCTTGGCAGAACCAAAGAGCATCACCTGCTCTGCATGCGGACCATGGAAGAGATTAATTCACCTTTCATTATACTTAAAATGTACAGAAATTAAGATGTAATATCAAATTAAGTCGGATACAGGGTTACAGGGTGTGACAGCGACGCTGCGGTAAAATTTAAGTAATGGTTCTCCTTAGCAAAGTAAACAAAACAGTGAAGATAATGATTTTGACATCTGGCATTGGAATCGTTGAGAAAATAGAGCAATATACATTACTTGGCTTGTAGACTTCCGTGGGAGTTGCCAAAGTTGAAGAATATTCGGGTTAGTTGTCACGTCATCAGTTTAAGCATCTTGACGTTTCGAGACGTATTCAGAAGAAACTCTGAAACTGTAAACTAAGTTCCTTTAATCACAATGCGTCAGTCAGTATCTTTGGTATGAAAACATATAAAAATGTATGAAAAGTAGCGTTAGACCATATTGGAGACTACTGGATGGATATCTATAGCTTCTCTATAGCGATCTATCCAAAAATATTCTCACATTTGAATTTTGGTATTATTTAGATCTATGGAATACCCAATTTACATTGTTGTTCTTCTAAGATTACTCCAAAAGATAAAATTATCTATTAGCTGCCCTATTATGAACTGGCAAATCTCCACAACCGAATCTGACTAAAATATTAGACTATTAAAGAACAAAGAAATACAGCCATCATCTGGCGCCCAACAAATTATATTACCAATTTGGAGGAATTACTACAGGACATGGTATATAGGAAAAATAAGAAAAGTCCGCTCAAGAAAGCAAGGAATAACACAGAGATCTCAAGCTAAGTAATAAGAGAACATTCCAATGTTATTGCCTTCCAAAGGACCACAAACTAAATGTAGTACTTCGACCAATAGTAATCGCTGCAAAAACTGACACAAAGGTTCTAATTATTGGTTCATCCAATTATCTCAAATTCCTTCTAATTTCGACGAGACTGGTTAATTTCCTTAAAATTTTATATCCTTAAACTGACAACGTTACACCCTGTAGATATAGTGACTACATCAACCAAAATTTTCTTCATATACCTACGTATTTCATTCACAGGTATTATAGTGGATTATCTATACACACATGGTTATAAAGACGTTCTATTTACAACGTGATGCAGCGATTACTTCTTTTTCTAACAATTATTCTTATTCATTTTACCCACATCATTATGTAATAAGAGAAAAGCGCTTCATCATTAACAATGGAAAATTGCTGGATAATATCTGAATAATGCCGTTAAATTTTGATGACATTTAATCGTTGTAAATTACAGTTGTTAAGTAAATCTCAGTTATAGAAACAAGAGATTCGTTTATTAATTGCCATTTTTTATTATCCTTTAGTATATTTAACGCTAGATTAGGCAGAATCGTTTATGGAGTAACTATTCTATTTCTAAATAAAATGTTTAAAAATATGTTTTAAGTTAATTTATAAGGAATAGGGAGATCTATTTTAAGAGAAAATCACACCAAGGGATCAAAAGATGTTTTGTTCAGTTTCCTGAATAAGAATCATTTACAGGAAAATAAGGATGTGATCAAGGATTCCTGCATAGTCTGAGAGGGATCCAAATAACTATAAAAAAATCGAATTGAATGAGACCTTACAATTATTGAAATTTATATGCCAGGCAACTTAAAGATTCCAGTGAATATCTGAATGAAAGGAATTTTAATGATGAATAATAATTTTGATTTAATTTCTGGTAATATTGTGTGATAAATTATATGTATGTATATGTACTAACACCTATAAGTCAATATTAAACATTTTTATATTTGTTTTTATAAAAGATTATTCCACTTTAAGTGAAATTATTGAAACATAAGTTTACCTACTCTGTTCTATAATAAGCTTATTTTATTATGACATGTCTCAGAAATTACACAGGGCACTTACAAACATCTAAGGATTTTTAAATGGTAAGTAGAAACTGTTAAAACTTATTGAGAACCTCTGGATTCGTCCCCAGGTTACATAAAAAGATTAATATTTGTAGCGTTTTGTTCGTCTCTTTATCTCGTAATTTGTAGTAAAATTTCCTGTTCAATTTTAAATAACCATAAGTTCTATTTTAGTTGTCAATATCATTAATGAGGAAATGGACATGAGATAACGTATGGAAACGCTGATGAAAACTCCGAGTTAACAGCACATCCTTATGTACAATTCTAAATAGACAGGGACCAACATAGAGGCATAGCTGTCAGTAGTCAGTGGTTCCAAAAAAGTTTCGTTGTATCAGTGTGGTAAGTCAGTGGTAAAAAAAAATAAATATTTTGTTTTTAAAAAATATTTCCGACAATCCAGTTTTCGCAGCTCGGTTTATTTACTCCATTCCATTTAGTTTATTCTCGCCAGTGGCGTACAGCCGAGGTGTAAAACTCCTTTTTGTTTCAAGTTTGTGCTCTAAACTGTAAATCTTACCTTACTGGTGAAAAACTCTTACTTAGGATTGAGTTCAAAGGATTCTTTCTCTCATTTTCTGTGAACAGTTTCGGCTTTTTCCTGTCAAGGCAGCAAGACTCAATCCGCTTGTACGGGACGGTTATCTGGGGGTTAGGTCACGAAATAAACGGTTCAACCGATCGGTGAAAGCGATCTGACCTTGTGTCGTCGTTTCGTTCTTCCTGGGTGAACAGAACTTCGCCCATTTTTGTGCTTCGCCCCTTGGCAATCGTGTTCTTCGAGTCAGGCCAGAGAATTAAACAACTGAAAATATTTCTTTCACTTTCAACTTTGCCGACTGTTCCCAGACATATCCCAGACAGACGCATTTCATTCTTTAGAAAAAGTAATTCATTCGCGTAACCGCAGTTTCTTATGGAAGTAATTGTATTCAAATTTTTAAGTTTTTTAGGTTAAGTCAATTCCTTACGGCTACAGTGCAATGCTGTTCTAGGCGTTTTTTTAATTGGATATTTTGCCATATTAAAATGGAAAAATAGTGTTTAAAGATAAATAACAAATTGTAGCAAAAAAAGTCGGTCAAGATGTTGATTTTATAAAACTAATTTCATAAAATCTGAAAAAAACCGATCCACTATCTCAGTTTTATTAAATATTTTTGAATTATTCAGTGAAAAATGCCAAATTAGTTAAAAAAGAGGTACTTAATAAAAAAAATCCACAAATATATAATTACGGACATTAATAGAATACGGACAACTAGAAATTATTTCAATTGCCCCAAAAATCCAATGAGTTGGTCAGAACACCAATTCATTAAATTATTATTACACACACATTCACTGTAACCTCATCTCATTCATTCGAGTTCTGTTGTGTTTATCAGATCCCTAGTTCATCAGAACACTCATTTACTAGCTGTAGCAAATTTCATTACGTCGTTCAATGAATAATTTGCGTTTAAAATAAGAAACACTATTATAATCAACACGCCAATCCTTAAATATCACATTTTTCTTCACAGTTAGGTATTCTTTCTACAGTTTATCCGATTTGTCCAGTAAATTTCCCATATGTCCACCATTTCCTCAAGATAAATCAACAAAATACACATTATATTTTATCTGTGCTTTATACATTTCGTGATATTTGTAGTTATTTTATTAGAACATAATTTTGGGACATTTTTTGTCTATGATTTAGTTCTATTATTTGGTTAATAAGAAAGTTTATGAGGATAGAAAAATTGTTCATTAGATATATCCTTGTAAGTAATTTAACAAGACATCGGTTGAAAACTACCTACTTTAATTAATTGGATACAACTTTTTGCATCTGGCCTCAATAGAAAGCATTTGGCGAATGTAGTTATTTAAGAAGTTTGCATTTCTTTTTAATAAATTTCATAAGTTTTTAGCAAGTATTACGTCTATGAATAAAACATCAGTTTTTTAATATTCTTCCATTCTATTTAACTGTTATATCTAACACTATAAATATAGTGTGTTTTTCTTGTCAAAATATATTTTGGTGGTGATATTTTTAACACATTCCATTTTACATCATAATATACTCAGCTCAATGTAATAATTTGAAATACATATTTAAACAAATTGTGGGTAGATAGAAAATAAATCTGCAAATAAAGCTAAAAAATGTTGTTATATCCCACAGTAGTATCTCCTCATCATCTTTTTAATTACATTTGGTTATGTATAAATTAATTATGTATAAATAAATTAAATTTTGATTATTTCCATCTGTTGTGGCCGTACAGAGAAATCTCAGTGCGGAAATTTTGATTGTCTAACGATTAGTTTCACACAGTACTGATATAAATATTAACTCTTCTTTTATTTACATTTTGCGAAACCATCAAAGAAGATATCACCTTTGCAAATTTTCTCTTCTGTAAACCTTGTTTAATCCATCATGAAAATTAAAGATTGACGTAATAAACTTTGTCATATAACATTTTATTTTTCACAAACTGTTTTGGTTACCTAACATATAAAATCTGTAAATTCGAGCTCTAAAAAATTCCCGACAATATAACATTGCATAAAATGCAGAAATAAAACAACTGATTGTAAAATAACAATATTTATTTTTATAAAATAACATTCATTTGTCGTCGTTACAATGGATTGTTAAAAAATGGTCACATTTACATGTCAAAAATCGATTAGAAGAAGAATACAATTTCTTATTAAATGGACATCACCTATTTTCAGTAACAATAGAATATATTAAAGCAATTTTGACAGTATTAATGGAACAATTATAAATAAATATATAAATTAAAACTAACAAGGAAAAGAATGAAAAGTATTTTTTCCATTTTCCGCCTGGTATATTCTTATAGAAAATATATGTTTAAATATACACTAGAACGTTAGAATGGGCCCTTCACGATGATCCAGAATGTCTGAAAAGATTCGATTATTTGTTATTTTTAACAGGCACATAACTTGGAATGTCTACAACTTTCGTTTATATACAGGGTGTCCCATTTTAAATTTCGAACCTGAATATCTCGTCAGGAAAGCCACCAATCCGAAAATAACCCTTACGAAAGTGGTTGAGTTCGGAGGGGGACATCGGACGGCGACCTTCAATTTGACCTTCACATTGACCTTTAAGGTAATTTGAAGTCAGATCTAATTTTTTAAATAGGAACCTCTAATTTTGACCCCGGATTCGGAAAGAGCGCAAAATTTTACTTTAAATAGGTACTTAATGCTCTTTTTTTGAACGACCTTTAAAGGTTATTTCAAGGACAAAATATTTAAATTACGCACCTGAATATCTTGTCAGGGAAGCCATCAATCCGAAAATAACCCTTACGAAAGTTGTTGGGTTCGGAAGGGGACATCGGATGGTGACCTTCAATTTGACCTTGACCTTGAAGTTCAAATCTAATTTTTTAAATAGGAACCTCTAATTTTGACCCCGGATTCGGAAAGAGCGCAAAATTTTACTTTAGATGGCTACTTAATGCTCTTTTTTGCGATGACCTTTAAAGGTTATTTCATGGACAAAATATTTAAATTACGCACCTGAATATCTCGTCAGGAAAGCCACCAATTTGAAAATAACTTACGAAAGTTGTTGGGTTCGGAGGGGAATATCGGTAGGTGACCTTCAATTTGACCTTGACCTTTAAGGTCATTTGAAGGTCAAAGCTAATATTTTAAATAGAAGCCTCTATTTTTGTCCCCAGATTCGGAAACAGCGCAAAGTTTTACGTTAATAATGCACAATTTCATTTTACATAAAAATCTTAATATCACTAAAACAGCACCGTTTTTTGAGGAAAAATACCAGGGTGTCCAGCTAAGAATGGGGTAAATTTTAAGAATGGCTTCCTTGGATCAAAATAAACCGACTTAGATAGTTATCCTAGTACAAATATACTTCCTTAAAAAATTATGTTACTATTAAATTAAAATTGAATTTAAAAAATGTAGAATGCCGATATCATTTTAAAATAGCTTTTATTACAACACCCTGTATATATAGGTTATAATAGCGACGTTCCGACAACCTTTCGGGACTAGTTAAATATTATTAGAAATGTTTACATTTTCATTTTTCAAAAAGTGAATATAGACACTAACTCTTTTCTTATTTAAGATAATAAAACAATTACCTTTTGCAATACTCCACCAAGGCAGTGTGACGTAGGTCAAAAACGCGTTTAGAGGGACTGATTGTGCTCGTTTGTTTTCTTTCCAGAAATGGAAGGTTTGTGTGAACCCCCGCATCGTCCACAGAGGGTTGTAGGCACCGTCGTCTAGTTCTGTAAGAACGGAAAATATGTATGTTAGAATACCTCATTAGAATTAACGTAAGTAGTTACGTCAAAAAAAATGTATAAAAAATAACAGAAATTGTTTAATAACTTTGATACAAGAGCAGTTGCATTTCTACATAGCTTTACTATTTATCTACCACAAATCTGCTAATGTTCTTTTACAGAAAAACTTTTTTAGTAGGTCTAACCAAGTTTGCACCACCTCTATTACCATTTTCCCATGTGAATTTCCAATCTCACAAATTATTCTTCAGATTATAGAAACGTCTTATAAGTACATCATTTGTAACCAGAAAGTAAGATACAGTCATTGGAGTGGAACCAATCGTCATCTCACATTTAGTCATAGAACCGACAAAATTCAAAATTCATATCTACGTGAGGAAAATTTATTCTGATAGTCTTTTGAGATGTTAGTGACTACACAAGAGAAAAGTGAAATTGTTAGTAATATCGATCGTACTGACAGACTTAACGTCATAATATTCTCATTTGGGTCATTTGGTTGGTCCTTTCAAGGAATATTTGCACAGTCAGAAGGTTATAGATGATAATGGGATAGAAAGCAAAGTTAATTAAAATCTGCATCAAAAGAACACCAAATGTGTTATGAAACAGATCGACTGAGTCAAAAAATAAGACAAAACAGTTTCAATAAGTACCTACTATTGCAATGATGTTACTAAACAATTTATTTATTTAAAAACTCTTTCTAGCTAATCTGAAAAATATGTATATTCAGAATCTGTAATTAAAAGTTTTACTTCAGAACCTTACCAAATGCACAAAAGAAAAAAAAATCAATATAAAAATAACTAATTGCTGTGCCAAATTATGACCAAAATGTTGTAGATGTTCCAGATTAATAAATGACGAAATATTGTCACTGTTTACAAAAAATACAATAGAGAATTATTAATAACGCTTCTACTCAAAAAAAATAAACAGTAAACCCATCGCCATCTAAAGAAAAATCGGTAAAGTTCGTACCCTTAGATTAGAATAGCATTTTATCCTCCAGATTACATGAAAAATGAGACAATCCAAACATTCACATGGCAAATTTTGTTAAAATAGTGAATTCTAAAGGAGAATGTCCCGTTATTTAGGTACAATCGGTATAGACTATACTAACTACTTGTGTGAATCTTACCAAAATTTTTTTTGTGAATATCACACCAATAATAAATATGTGTCCCATCCGGAGTAACCCGCTTTGGAGGATTCACATGCCTCAACCAATATTTCGGACAAGTTGCTTTTTTCTTATTTTTAGGTAGAGTACAGTAACTGTATATATTCTTAACATCTACTTGGTTATAATTGCCATTGATATTTTTCCTCAGTTTAATCCTATCCCTATTATTTACAAATTCATTCCTCAATATCTCGGTTTCGGATAATTTTTCAATGTGTGCCAGATTGTCCGATAAATAGTACTTTATTTCGTGAACGCAAGGCAGTTCTTCCTTGCCGTTAACCGTGATATACGGGTTTTTCGCTGCTTCATTATAAACCGTTCTACTAAACGAACAACTCGAGATGCACTCGCTAACACCTTTCCTTTCTAAGTTAATAGCGTCGTCTGCAAACTCACACTCGGTGTAATTAGCATTTTGCTGCGACTCTTTTATGTTTTTCTCGGTTGTCGCGTGATCTTTATCCTCGTTAACGTTTGCTTCGGATTCGTTAAGCAGCTTAGAGATATTGACATTGTAAGAGCAGTCATTGTCAGGGGGGCCCAACCTAGCCCTTTGCGCGCATCTCTTTGGGTCGGAACACCTCATTTCGTACATTTCTAGTAGAGTCACGGACTCGTTATTTCTTCTTCGAAAACACCCACAGCACGTTGAATTGGATGTTGAAGCAGTACCAGACTTATCTACAACAACGAGAAAATTATGTTAACTTCACTTACTACACACTTAAAGTGCCTGGAAATTAATTTTCTCAAAACAATTTAGTATATAAATTGTTATGAATTTGTAAATACATTTTACAAGTATTTCCTTTCCGTTGTCTAATTTCCAGACACTATCATTAAAAAAATTACTTAACAAATCTAGACCTGCTTCTACATCCAATTAACATCATGAAACTAAATTACATTAAGTACAAGACAAACAGTGTATTATTTTTGAGGTAGTTCTTCGTACCTTGATAATAATAATATTATTAGTGGCATTATGAATGGATTGTATCAAAAGGTTGATTCTTAAGAAATTCTTAAAATTATACCCAATACATTTTATTCACTGAACGTCAATAAAATTGAACTGCATGTAAATGGCCACAAATAAAAACCTGGATGAAATAAATATGTACAGATACAGACCTTAATGGGCAACACAAACTAAATGTAAGTGTCAAAGTGTAGCAAAGGATGGAACATGTATTATAATTTTGTATTTAAAAACAAGACAATGAAGAAATGTGGTGTAAGGTAAGTAATATTAAATTCTTGCTCTAATTCAATTGAATACAATTGATGCAAATCCTGCAAATCCTTTATATTAATCCTAAAGTCTACCAACAGCATAAGATGAGGTTGGTCAGCGTCAGATATTTTTTTGTCAAATCCTTATAAATTATAAATATTAATGCTTTTGAGTTAGTCATGGATATGTCAGGTACAGCATTTGGAAACAACTATCCGGAAAGTCTTGAAATTTCCACTCACTGCACCAAAATATTGGTGGGGAATACATTTAAGTGTAATATATCCATTTCATATTGAGATAAATTTTACGTAGTTGTGCCCTAGCTTTGGCTATGTGGAAACCCAACTGATAATAAAGTGTTATATATTTAGGTAAACATAAATTACGTGAGTTTTAAAGCAAACTTCATACTCCTGTATTATTAATAGTCTCCGAACAAACTCTAAAAAAAGTTCCCTTCTAATGGTGTCCTGTTAATTTTTTTTATCTTAGTTATTCTTTTCTCTTCTCTTTGAACTTATATAATATCGATAAATAACCATTTTTGTCTGTCCTCTATATTTCCTATTCTTACAGCTTCATTTCGTTCCTTGAGGTACAGAAATGTATTTTTTAGGAGTAAATTTTGGGGCAAACATTTTATCACCAACATGGAATTTCTTTGGTCGATAGACTTAATTTCATCAGAACTATCCTATATTTCCTATTGTCACATTGTCCTAAATCTTGTTACCACAAATCATTTAGGATTTAGATTTGTTCGAATTATATCAGACTACAATGTAATAATATGTATAAGCGATGAATTGTAGTAATCATTCTGCCCGAGCAGCTTTAAAAGCAGACAGTAAATATATTACATTGTGTAGACTGACAACCACCAGCCCCTCTATTGAAACAGGATCCATTCATTAGAATGAGGAATGAAGTTTTTGTGCAGTAAATCAATATGCTCCAATAGTACCACTTCGTCGAACATAAATAACTGTGTGTGTCAATTATTGTGCATTACATCTAGAGGAGTGTGCGTATGAGATTTATTCACTCTGTACAAATATGAAGATAAAAAAATGTTTAAATCAAAATTGAACCCAAGGGAGTATAAAAAGGCATGTAAAACTGGCATCAAACAGGATACTTCATCATCCCATTAGCGAGGGCGCTAGTTGCAAATTGTGGGTAATACAGTATGGGATTTTATCAACAATTTCCGTTATCGTGTTATCTGTTGTTAATCTAAGCTATTGTTCAATGGCCAAAGTGTCATTAGAATAAAACAATTGCAGAAATGTTTTGCTGTGATTGTGAGTGAAACTTATGTATACTGTTTTCACGTATGACATAAAACTATTTTTTTCGGCCATTTTGAGATTTGATTATTTTCTCAGGGGGCGGCGCTCAAATAAAAAAAAATATATAGGAAGTACCCCCCCCCCCCCCCTAAAATTACTTTCTAAACACCTCCTCAAAATTTTGCACGTCATTATGAAACACCCTGTATATTCGTATAGAACTACTCTAAGACATCTCGGTCAATCCAAAGAGCGAACGGTCGTCAAATTGGTACTTCAACCGCAGCTAACCTACGCCTCCACGGCGTGGGGTCACGCGGCAAAAAGCCACTTAAAGTCATTACAGGCTGTGGAAAACATAGCCCTCCGCACGGCCACCGACGCGCCCTGGTACGTAAGAAACACTGACATATTACGAGACTTACAATACACAAACGCTACACAGACAATAAGACAAAACGCGGANCCAATAGTACCACTTCGTCGAACATAAATAACTGTGTGTGTCAATTATTCTGCATTACATCTAGAGGAGTGTGCGTATGAGATTTACTCACTCTGTACACTCTGTACAAATATGAAGATAAAAAAATGTTTAAATCAAAATTGAACCCAAGGGAGTATAAAAAGGCATGTAAAACTGGCATCAAACAGGATACTTCATCATCCCATTAGCGAGGGCGCTAGTTGCAAATTGTGGGTAATACAGTATGGGATTTTATCAACAATTTCCGTTATCGTGTTATCTGTGGTTAATCTAAGCTATTGTTCAATGGCCAAAGTGTCATTAGAATAAAACAATTGCAGAAATGTTTTGCTGTGATTGTGTGTGAAACTTATGTATACTGTTTTCACGTATGACATAAAACCTAATTTTTTCGGCCATTTTGAGATTTGATTATTTTCTCAGGGGGCGGCGCTCAAAAAAAAAATATATAGGAAGTATCCCCCCTAAAATTACTTTCTAAACACCTCCTCAAAATATTTGCACGTCATTATGAAACACCCTGTATATTCGTATAGAACTACGTCTAAGACGTCTCGGTCAACCTAAAGAGCGAACGGTCAGCAAGCGAGCAACTTTTAAGGATAAAAACTAATTTTATAACATTATAAATATGTAAAAAAGTTATATTTAATTAGAATTACAAAAATATTTATCAAACATTTATTAGGCAAAAAAAATTATCGCTAGCCAGCGATATTAAAGCAACCCACTGGTGATTTTATAGAAACAAATTTATCTGAATTTATTAGATCGAGCGAATTTCATCGTTAAATAAAATTGTTTTGTAAAATGAACATCAACCATAATATAAAGACAAAAGAAATTTAATATGGGATATACCTGCGACTATTTTTATGACGTCACTTGGAGAGTAAATAGCTACGGACAATGACGTTACTAGTGGTGACCTGTCTTTACAGATTAGTTTTCGTGTCGCATGAGTTCTAAATTAGTGTAAATTTAATATTTGTATTACGGTTGAATAAGGGCATCTATATTTAGAACTGACTTTGCTAATTTAAAAGAATTAAAGCCACCGAATAACTAATATATAAGTCGAACCTACATAGCAAATTATTGCCAAATAATATATCGCTATCCAGGAAAGATTATGAAAAGGCCTAATAATGTTGATAATACTGAAAGGTGCATAATTATTTTGATATTAAACACTGTTTCATTTATTAAATGGGTACAGAACCACAAACTTAATTAATTAAATAATAAAATCAGTCCCTACATGAGGTCGTGCACCAAGTGAATTAATTTTAGTTCACTGGAATAGGTATCATCTCCTAATCTCCTAGTCTAGTATTCTGAGTGTCAACGGCCTATATGTCTACAAGACCATGTACAAATTGACGTCCTCCCACTGTTCAGTGTGGTCGAGGCCTGTGAAAATATCGGGTCTCCTCAGACGCGTTTCAATCAAGGAGCTTGGTATTTTTCATTAAAACGAAAAAAAAAACAGATAAATTTGAAAATACCGCCACGTTTTCGTCAAGGCGTCACCAAGGATGTTGTTATTGTACTCGGTGCCACGATTTGCCTATGAGATCGACGAGTCTAATGGGTAGTTTGGTGGCTGAAGACCAAATATTAAATATTGTACAATTTCCAAAAAAAAAAATGCTAGTGGGAATGTTAATTTGGCACACTCTGTATATCAAGACGAGCGTTTGAAAATTTTACAGTTTTAAAAAACATTGTTTGATCAACTTCCTGAAGCATGATTTACCAACCAAACGAATGTCAACCCATCACACATACACATGCATTTAACACCTACCGTCTCGAAGATCGCCAGCTTCTATCTCGCTAACCCCGTTGTCTATACAGTCAAGCCCTTCACTCTCCGACCTAGCCTTGACGTCTAGTTTACTCTTCCATCCGCCCCTCACGAAGTTGTTTATGTTCGCGCTGGGGTCGCTGAGGCGTCGCTGGCTCCGGTACATGTAGAAGTCCTCGGGGTCCTCCTCCCAATCGGAATCCCACATGTCGGTGGCGCAAAAGCCCGGCTCGGAAGTTGGAGTCTCGACTCCAGAGCCCTTGGGCTTCGTCACGGCCATCTCGGCGTGACCTTTGCCCTGGGGACCCTTCATGCGGACGAACTCACACCGCTGAGAGGACGAATTGGAGAACAGGCCGAAGGTCATCCTTTGGGCCATTTTTGTACTTAAACTTGATTGCTAGAAATAAACATCAAACGTATAGTGTGTTCGAAAATGTGTCGGAACTATTGCTAACTTTGTTGTTATTGGAAATACGAAATTGCTTAAAAAATCAGTAGATTTCTCCTGGCAATAATTCGATACATACATATTTAAACTCTTGCAACCCTTCAGCTTCCTACAAATGATATTGGAGAAAAATTGATAAAAACACCGGTTTATTGGATGAACACTTGATAAAAAAATAAAGCGTACTGTATAAAAATCAAACTAACTTACCCTTGCGTCGTACACCTTCTTCAGCGCGTCGTATCTAATGGACCCTAAAAATATAACTCCCTGTATAGTTCCGGCCCTATCCGCAGCCAGCAGCTCGACGCAAACCATCTCGCCATCTCGCACCAAGATGTCGTGGAAGACCTCGTCGAAGTTATCTACCATGAAGCAGATGTGGGGGTACGTGATTTCTTCCACCTCTCCCTTCGTGTCCATCCTCCTACGACTGGGGGAAGCGTAAACTTTCTGAGAGTGCCTTTTGAGCACTTGTAATTCCTTGGGACTTGTGCGCGTACATATGGCCAGGGTTAGAGTGTATTCGAACTGATGGATGATTAGATTTAGGTATACCGTTTCTTCCCAGTCGATGTCTGGATCGCCGATTGGCAACTTCCTGCTGTCCTTTCGGAAAACGTCCACTTCCGTCTGTAGATAAATACAATCGATCATTTTTAAATCGGCCAGATCCCTATGTTAGACAGGCCTTTATTTAAAATATGTGATAAGTAAATGTATAAATAAGACTTAAAATCAGTTGAAGTGTTATTGTGTTAGTTGCAAGAGCGATGATGTTGAAGGTAGAATAAGAACTGAATAAAAATCAAGTTTCCAAATTCGGTCTAATTATACTTCTGCCAAACGAAAAAAAGTGTGCACCATCTCAAATAATACAAACTATATAGTTGTGAGTTATTTATGTAGTAAAATTTTAAGTACAATTAATTAAGCATTAAATTAGAATTATTGATTTTGCTTCTATTTAATCGTTTGGCATTGAGATATATAATTAATACATTTGAAAAAGTTTATTTAAAATACTGCCTTTTAATGAAAATAATGTCTAAATTTAGACCGAACTCCATTCCTAAATTGGACTGATTTCGTTTAGAAACTACAGACGAGAAAAAATAACGAAGGGATGTTTGGCAGCAAAAGTTATTTTAATAGCAAATTATTGGATCATAAAAAAGTGGGAAGGGGAAATCTTTCACTAGTTCTAATTATGTAGAATAAACAATAAATGATTTCGTTTCATGTTTATACAGAATACAAATAAATAAAAATTTTGTAATTTAGTGCAAATAACAACAGTGCAAAGTAGTTGAAACCACTATCAGACTTTATTCTTCTATTTTTAAACATTTTTATTCCAGTTTATTGTTATAAATTGTAACCCTTTATTATAAATCATTTTATAGAACTGTCACTTTTACTTATTAATGCCCTGAAGTCACGTACTGGGTCAAGTACAATATCCACTGCATGCATAAGATATGCATATTAGTTCGAAATCTTTATCTTTATTAAGTGCAATGGTATGCATGTATCCTAAAAAGATGAAGCTCCTTCCGAGCTACATCTTCTTAAAGTTTTCGAAAGGAATCGTATTTTCTTGATTATTGTTTAACTATAATTCAAAATTGAACCAAACCTTGTGAGTTTATATTTTTGAGTAGACTCTATTTAATTTAGTACCAGAAAAAGTCAAGGGTGGTCCTACAGGTTGCTGGCATCAATAAAAATTAAGTTCAATATGAATTTATTTTGGTGATCAGTTAATACAGACTCTTTTATATTTATATGAAACAGTGAAAATTAATTGTTTTTTATGGTTTAGAATTGAATGGAGCATACTAAAAAGATAAACTTGTAAAGTTTAGTTCAATTTAGAAAAAATGTTAACGTCACATTTATTATGAAAATGCATCTGCTCAAAATAAAAATTAAGCTATATCGGCATTTTTTAAACATTTCCTCAGTACAAATCTAAAGGGGGTGACAACTGTATAAACGATGGTGTACTAAATTAGACCTACTTGAACATGAGTAAGCTCATTAAAATGAACTTATAAAAGCAGAAAACAAGTATCTATATTTAAACCGTCTAAAAACACACCGCAATTGATCTTTATTGTAATTCAGCACATTAATTTTTCAAACTGAAACTGATTCGAAAATTGCTTTATTGAAACCTAAACAGTTTTTCGGCAAAGTAATTTTGTGTTGATATAATAATTTTTAAATATTCTGTATCTTATCCTAATACTAATAAACCTTTCGGTAGTGATTTACATTCATATATTTTTGTATACAATTTTTTCATAAAAAATGTTGTGTTGAGTTGTAAGCAAGATTTATTTTATACTCAATTTATCAACATTTATGTTCTAACCTAATATTGTACACATTTACCTAAATTTAGATGCCCAGACAAATAGCCACATTGCCTTTGTTCTCAACTCTAGTCGTAGTAGATAAATATCTACGCAATTATGATATAATAATAATTTGAATATTATTGTTTAATTATACACTGCGTCTCAACTAAAACTACCAGCTACTTTTAATTACATGATCCTAAAAGTAAATTCCTTCCACAAAATCGGCATTCTATTAAAAAGTAGGTACGTAGAGAGTTCGGTTGGGGATAATAGATGCCTGTTCTTTTCTCAAAATGTTTTCTCGTGGCATACATAATTACAGATATTGATTTGACAGTAATCATTCTTATGCTGAAGAAATAATAATATAAACAATCCAAGAGTTAACGTATGGTGTGGAATCTACAATAAAAAAGTGATCGGACCCATGTTCGTTTATTTAAACGATGAACGTTATTTATTTATTCAGAGACAAACTTGAGTTATTTTTTGATGAACTAGTATTAGCAGAAAGAAGGCTGTTCAACATCCAACAGGATGGGGCACCACCTCACTTTATGAGAAATATGCAGGATTATCTCCATGAACTGGTGCCAGAAAGATGGATCGGAAGAAGGGGTTCAGTTGAGTGGCCTGCTAGATTTGTCAAATTATGTTAAAAAAAATACGGTGTTGCCTTTTAAAAAATGTTGTTGTAGCAGCTACTGAAGATATCTGACAACACCGAAAAGCATTATTTGTAAATTCTTCTTGGTCAAGTTATTTTCTACAACTTTGCATTTATAACTATCACTTCAAATAAAAAAGTCGGCCTGTCAGGTTTTAAAAAAATTACACTGTATGTAGTGCCGATCATATTCACTGTTTGAGTATGAGTATGGCATACCTTATAAAAGCAGCTGTTGTATTACATAAACGATTTTTTTAATAACATATGTATAATAATCTCAAACTGCATATGTCAGTGGATTTGTCTAAAATGTTGAAAGTCTTATAAATTACATACGTAAAATTTCTATAGCCAACATGTTTCCTGCGGAGTAATAAAACACTTCCATTTTCCACTTCTAGATAAAAGAACGTGAGGTTCGTAAACAAAAACAGTCCGATACATTTTAGGAAAAGAGAGTATAGGGTAATTTATTTAAAACTATAGCTTGTTTGCAAATATTGTAATAATGACTAGGCAATAACTAATGAGATAAATGAAGGGAACTAAAATATTCCGCATCACGCCTAAAGTGTTCAAAACAATATAAACAATCAATCATTTAAAGAATAAATATGTGAGTAGTTTTACCAATATATTCAGTATCATCTGACAATATAATATAATTGACGTATTACCATTTATAAAAAATGGATTTCTTTTGTCACTATTATTTCGATAATCTGCATTTTAAAGTTTCTAAAGACTTTCTATCGTGTTATTAATTATAATAAATAATTATTCCTAATTGATTAACAAAAATGGAGAAATTTTTTATTGATTTTTGATATTCCGTAAATATTTTATTTCCAAGTAAGCCTATACAGGGTGAATCTTAAATGTGTAAGTGAAAGTGAAAGTTTAAAAATTCCAATATTTACGGAAATATTATTTTTATTTTGCATATGTTCAATACACATTGATTATTTTTCAATTTTATCATACTAATTTTCGCATTAAATATATGCGTTTACAAAAAAGATCCTGTTTTTTGCTGTATTTCCAAATAGTTGTAAAAAAAGTATTAGGTATCTATGTAATAAAACCATTATAAATTAAAAATACTTTCCTCGAATTTGGGCAAATATCTGGGAGATCCTTTGACGTGTTTTTTTCTAACAAAAAATAAGAGATCGTCGCAGTCTATGGTCGAATCATTTTGGAAAAGAAAGTGCCGCACAAACAAGTCAGTCCAGTAGGTAGTTCCTTGAAGCATCACAAACCCGGATTCTGAAAAATAATTTCATAGAATTTACCCACCTGACTCATCTGCACCTTACCATCTTTCAAAAGTTGTCGCATTTCCTTCGTCCTCTGAAAATTAATTTCTTCTAGCAGTTGCTCGAGTACCGTGGGCGTTTTCAAAATGGAACTATTAGCATATGCCATATTATGGGATCGGACGTTCACACCATTATTAAAAAATTACATAAAAGACAACCCACGGTCCTAAAAATCCAAACCAACAATTCTACGCTCCCTAAAACACACACGTGACTAATGCTGACAGAACTCCCAATATGAGTTCTACAGGACGATCGATAAATCCACGGATACATGCGTACTAGGTTTCAGCGGGATATACTTTTTTATACTGTCACCAATAAAGTATCATATAAGAGCACTTCGTTTATTTTTAATTTATCTGCAATTGTTTTTGCTATCTCCTAAGTGAAGTTTGTATTTTATTGCCACCTAAATATCGGTTGAGATATATTTTGTTGCGTCAACGCTTCACAAGGGACTTACCATGCAATAAATAAGTATAGTACGTAATAATAAGTACCAGCTTACTCGTAAAGGGACAGTTGATCTATAGATTGGTGTAGTACAAGGTTTACATATACTCTAGGATCGTCAGCACAAAAAAAACTTTAGCATTTATATACGATAACTTCGAGAAGTATGAACACCAAGAAAAAGAGGGATTCCAAAACAGACCCTTGCGGTACACCAGGAATTAAAGGATGATGGTACAGTCAATGAAGCTTTTCACCTCCGAATTCTTTGAAACTGAACCGATCGACTTGAAATTTGTCAGATAGTTAGAGAAAAGGTCAATGAACATTAGTGACATAGCGCCGATTGCCGCTTCCACCCTGTTGAGAGTTCCCCTTCTCGGGGATGGGAAATTTTTTTCAAAAGTAACGCTGGAAATCGATAGAGAATCAAATTTTGAACAAAAAATATTCGAAGAATTTTTTCAAGAATTCAATAGTTTTTTAGTTATTCACGATTGAAAACTTGGAATTTTGAGTGAAAAAAAAAAAACACTTTTTCAAAGTATTTTTCGCGAATAACTCAAAAACTACGCATTTTATTAAATAAAGTGTAATGAACAAAAATGTAGCTTATAAATAAAAAGTGTTGTACGTCCTATACAAAGCGAAATATGGTTAGTGGAAGGGGACTTGTTTTGGGGGAATACTCGAATCGATGTACTTATTCAACGTCAAATAACGGAAAAAGGATTCATTTTACATGTATAACGCTCCAGGAGTTTTTTGTAATACCTACTCAAAAAGACCTTCAAAATGAGCACTTATAGAAGTTAATTAGAACAAAATTGAAGGAGTTATCGTCAAAAACGGGTTGCTCATATTTTTTAAGTAAAAATGAGCAGTAAACGCTGTACCATTTCCATCAGAATTAAAATTAATCGTAGACCCTTTACAATTAGTTTTGTTTTAGTATTTTTCATACGATCCTGAATTTAGACCGGTTTAGAATGCGTATTTTTTTAATAATGTACGGTAAAAGTTGAAAACGTATTTTTCATTATTAAAAAAAAAATGTCTTATTTATATAATAACTGAAACTATGAAAGATAGTAAAACATGATAGACAACACAAATGTAGCTTTTTTTCAACAAATATTTTTTTATTCCTATAGCATAAAAAATAAGGAGATGAAGTATCCATTTTAGTGAAAAAACAACCTGCCTTTAAAAAACGAAGGACTTAAAAGGTTTTATATGCAAACGAGCTTACAGCTCTTGAAATTATCTTTAAAACTATAGCTTCAAAATTAAACGAGTTTTGGTAAAAAAAACCACTGACATTTTTTCGGAGCAAAATGTTAGGATTTTTTGCATAGGGGTAGTTTTTAAGGTTTAAATAAAGGGTCGAAAAGATCAAATATATCATAAAACATGTTCAAGAACATGGAACATTATTTAATCTTTGTGCTTGAACAAGATTTTTATCAATAAAATGCTTAAAACTTAATTTTTTCAATTTTTTTCACTTAGGGGTAGTTTTTAGCTATAGAAAACAAAAAGCGTCAATCGGGCTTATGTCACTTTTGAACTTGAGCCTAAGATGAGCCTTATTCTATTTTCATGCAAATCCATGCAGTTTCAAAGAATTCGGAGGTAACAGCTCATTTTCAGCTTCAATAGCTGTACTAACGAGTAGACGAAAAAGAGTCACAAGCTCAAATAGGTACCTACTATAAATATCACGTTTATAATGAAACAAACAAAATGTTTGTAAAAAAACACCTATTCAAACAAATGGTCTTAAAATTAACTTACCAAACCAATTGCGACAAAGTAAAAAAATATCGCGTGTTCTCCCAGATTTATAAAAAGATATAAAAAATAATAAAGGTATTCGATCTGATTTAAAACAATAAAAAAAATACGAAAAATGACTAAAAGATATGTATCTAGACATAAAGTACAATCTGCTAAAAAAGTGTGTAGATGGGATTGATTTTATAATGTCTTCACCACGGGCAAGACTTCACCGTCTTGTATTCTGAATACTTACGCACTGAACGTGCGCGGAAAGAATATGTATTTCCGAGATTCCTTCGAATGCCATATGTTCGTAATCCTAATGGAAATCCTGTGACTTATGACACTTCAATTTTATATTTAAATTGCCTATGTATACAGTAGGTATGTCCAGTAATAGCCAGTTAAACCACTTTCGCTCGATTAATTAATGAATGTTTTCTTATTACGAGTAACAGAAATGCTCATTTCGAATGGGGCAAAATTCCAAAAATTGTTTTAAAAAGAAAATAAGTGAAAGCTTACAGGGTGTATATCAGCTGTAAATGTGATATAATACCTTTTTATATTTGTCTATCATTCAAATTGAACTTGAACTTAATAATTCTTTATCGATTTGGCCTTGATTTCGACTATAGTGATTATTTTTACGGTTTTCGGATTGTACATGTAGACTTTCTGTAGATATATAAAATGCAGATGACTCCAGTTTTGTATCGATTTCTTTGCGCTACCGAATGTAAAAATGCGAAATCTATGTATATACATATAAAGATGCACTACAATTTACCATTTAGAAAATAAAATTGTGAAAAAATTGTTTACAATCGATTCGAATGAAATTTGACAAAAATATTTCACTTTTCAATAACTTTTCATAATTAGTTTATTACATATTTCCAAATCCAATTCAGTTACTAGTAAAAGGTGATATAAATCTTGGATATTTTTGAGATGTATTAGTATCCTTCAATGTATAATTATTACGAGATGTTGATCAAAACTTTTTATTCAAAAATGAATCAAAACATGACATTTAACATACCTACCTATCTTTTTTACTTGATTAAACTTCAGCAGATGAAGAGGTTTCATCTTAAATTAAGAATGATATATAGGTACATGAGTGATTTTATATTATTTTTGAAAATATAGATCATATTATTCTTTATTACATACAGGGTGTTTGGTAAGTCGATGCATTCCTTGCAGGAGGTTATAGAATAGTACAAGTGATTTGTGATATATTTCCTTAATATATCATATTCCGAAAACGCCTAGTTTTCGATCTAAAGGATGTTAAAGTTTTAATTAAAAAAATTCTATATATATTGCGGAAATCGCTCAGAATATTTTAATGAAATTTTACAGGTTTTGACAGTTAACAACAATACATGTTTTACTATAAAAATATTGTTTTCAGTTTCACCAGTGGCGTGCGCACAGGCATGTCTAGATATGGTTAAAGAAAAAATGATACCCCACTGATTTTTCTTAAAATAAAAATTATTCTTGAATTCCTTGTTCAATTTGGAAGAGAATAGGTATCTCGACTGTTTTTCTTATGATGCACCGTTTTCGAGTAAAAAAATAAAATCGATTTATTGCATGGCGTAATTCGGTTTCAATCATTTGAAAAATAACAAAACTTATGCACTTAACTGATTCACACTCAAACACTCAAAGTGACAGCTATTATTAATTTTGTCAAACAATAATAAAAAAGAGTGCACAGCCCACTTGCTAATTTTAAAGTGAATAGTGAATCTAAAAACCAATAAAAAAATTTTAGACTGATGTTAACTGCGAGGAATAATAATTTTTTGTAATAAAATTATTGAAATCGGATTACGCCATGCAATAAATCGAATTTAATTTTTTTACTCGAAAACGGTGCGTCATAAGAAAAACAGTCAAGATAACTTTTCTCTTTCAAATTGAACAAGGAATTGGAAAATATTTTTTATTTTAAGGAAAATCAGTGGCGCATTATTTTTTTCTTTAAAAATATCCAGACATCCCTGTGCGCACGCCTCTGGTGAAACTAAAAACAATATTTTTATCGTAAAACATGAATTATTGTTAATTGTTAGAGCTTATAAAATTTCATTAAAATATTCTGAGCGGTTTCCGTAATATTTATAAATTTGCATTTATGCTTTTTATTAAAATTTTATCACCCTGTAGATCAGAAAGTAAGCGTTTGCGGAATATGGTATATTAAGGAAATACATCACAAATCACTTGTACCATAACCTCCTGCAAATAATGCATTGACTTACCATCCACCCTGTATAATACTTTTACTAATCCTATTAAGTTTAAATAACAATTTGCCTCTTTTAAGGCTTACTTTCTTAGATTTGACGACGTTGATCGCACTGCCTTCTGGCCACGGACTTCATGGGCGTAACCACGATTTTTGCTCAAAAAAAAAAAACACACGCAATCAACGACAACGTTCAAAACGAAAGATAAAAGCTCCCTTAAGTATTTGTCCTACGATGCGCCGTTTTTTAATAAAAAAATAAAACCCGTTGCATTGTGTGTAATAAATTAATGCAACTATTGAAAAATGCAATTTTGCAATAAACCTAGTTGGCCTGGAATGTGTCACTTACATTTCTGACATTTTCAAGTAAGTCAAGCGGTTTCGAAAATATTAATCAATTTTCTTCTTTTTCGTAAAACTTTAACACCCTGTATTTTCGCAACGGAACATTTTTGGACCAGAGTTTATAAAGCAATCATTAATTTTCCATGTAGAATCACATCCTTAAATATTCGCATATCATTAAGGAACACCCTGTATATTACCGATTACAAACATTACTCACCATTAACTTTACATCTGGTTGAAGGAGAATAAAATAAATAAAAAAAATAATAAATGAAATACACATTTATGGTATGAATCATGTAAAAAAACACTTCTTCAGATTGAATTGTATCTATTTAGAAATCAGTCTTTTCATCAGTTTAAGCCAACCGGCAAACTTTTATCACACAGAGACAATCACAATAAACATGCACAAGTCCACAAATTACCATGTCTTCTAATAATTTTGCATGTCGATAAAATATAAACAAATTGTCATAGAAACAGGGTGGTTCAGATAAAAAAATTAAATTAACAAAATAAATGACGCTACAACAACTGCATACAGTGTAGGTCAGTTTTAAAACTCAAATGTAAACTAAACATTTTGTCAAAAGTTACATAAAATAGTATGTACTTTTAGCCTACTCTGTAACAGCTAATAAAAAGTATAAAATTACTTAAGCAGTCTTAAATAAAATTTCATATAAATTTCAGTTTATAAATAACATAATCACATCACATATTACACAAACATTTCAAAACTAAGATATTAAAATATAAAGAAATACTATTTATACATCTGCCAGCAGTAAATAGACATTGTGTTTAAAATTAGTTTGATAATAGTAAATAAATACCACAAATCGTCAAATAATAGGCCACACTTATATGCACGCGAGGTATATCACATTTACATTACTAAGGCCCAAGCGCATGTTCCATCATCTGTAGACAGAGAGATTCTAAACTACTCTCTATATCCACATTTTGTGATGACTTTTGCTCCTTGTGACTATTAAAATCTTGGAAATGTACGTGTAACGGATTTATATTACTCTCATAATAATTCAGTGAACAGTTATTATAACTAGACGTATTACTTTTTAGGCTATGTTGGTTTGAGGTTGCTGAAACCAACTGATTTTGCAATGTTACGCTCCCCACGGAGTGCCTGTGACCGTTCGGCGCAACATTGTTTTTCATATTCGGATATGATGAACTTTTGTGAGCATATGTCGATTGAACCGATGAAAACTTATTTGGTAAATTGTACTGGAAATTTTGCATCCTGAAAAAAAAACACACAATTACTTAAATAAAGTTACTTAATAACAATTAAGTACAATAATTAGAAGTTACAGTAAGTGCTCATTACTCACCTATTAACTGAGGATTTTTGGTGTTGTTGGCTATAAACTGGTACTGGTTCTTCTTTCAAAAGCTGACTCTTCCACATGTTCAGACGTTTCTTTTGTTCTTCAGTGAAGGCATCGAGAGTATCTGCCTTTTCGCATAGAGAGCTAAACGACATCAGATAATCATCTGAAGGCTGCCTTAGCATTAAAAGTTGTGTACAAACTGAAACAAAATATGGCAATAATAATTACCAGATATAATAATTTACTAAAATGTAGATATGCTGGGTATTTTCCAAGTTTCTAAGTCCGTGTCATAACTCTAGGAGTTTATTTTAAGCCAAACAGTTTTAACGTATAGTCTTTCCGATATCAATTGAAGAACCACGAGATTGACAGTATGTACCAGGTTCGGTCGCTGACGCAGCAACTCGGCATTGAAATATTTGAAAAACTTGTTTCCATATTTATTTAGCCATACCCATATACAGGTCTGGTCGAATTAAACGTGGAGGTGGTAGAAATGTATACGCCCAGTTGAAGAATG